GGAAGACCTACAACAAAATCCATCGTGATATGCTCCCATTTCCATTTAGGTACAGGTAAGGATTGCAACAAATCCGCTGATCGTTAGTGCTCGACGTTCATTTGTTGACAACCAAGGCACCTCGAAACAAACAAAGCCATATCTCTATTCATCCCCTTCCACCAAAACTAGAGACAATGATCGTGGTACATCTTCGTGCCTTCCAGATTTACTGCAAGACGTGAATGATGGAACTCTCAGAGTACCTCCTTTCTACAAGATTTTGGTACAGAAAGGCAATCTAAATATCTCACACTCAAGTTCGAATGAACATTCAAACCTTTCTCTACTTTCCCATTGGAGATCTTTCCCCGGATAGTCTCTACCTTGTGATCATGCTATTGTGCCTCCATAACCCTACTAACCAAGGTAGGTTGTGCAATTGCATAAATAAAATGGCCAACTCAATGGACTCACTAAGATGCAAGTCAAACTTGCCGAGGACACACATGCTAACATAATAAACCACAATCACACTCCCTAACCAGATTCACCAAAGGTATACACCTATTTTTCTCAAAATAATACAGTTTCAATATTTAAGTATGAAACAATGCTCAATGTAAGATGTATGAATAATTAGTTTCAATTAACCTAATCTTCATGCAATTTATACGACAATCAAAGTTATCTTCTACTGATAGCCCAAAATAGATATTTCCACTCAACATATAATTGTTGGCAATAAATATAATGTGATAAATTTCAAAATGGGAGCAATAATGTATATCAAACTCCACTCTCATTATCAACATTTACATACTTCTTATCTTTTCAAACCCAACATCTTTTCCCTTTCTTTCATAAATCAAACATCAATGATTTTTCAAACAAAACCTCCTTTACTTTCAAAATCACATTTAAGGAAGGAAATTCTAATATTTCAACACAACCCAGCAATATACATACTCCCACAACCTTTCTTAAGAATTTATTTGAAAAACCCTTTTTTTTACATTTCAAAATCAAACCCTAAACCTTTTCAAAGATAAATTAATTATGTTAGGAATCATACCAAAGGTAGAAGAAATCTTTACCATAAGAGTAGAAGAGAAAAAGAGCAAGGGTAGAAGTTTGACAGAGCCAAAAACAAGATCTTCTTCGATTAAAATGAAACTTTCGACGAGCTCTACCTTTTTCTCCAAAAACAAATCCGAATTATTTACTTTCGCGGCTAAAATGCAATAATACAAGAAATTATATTTTTCGCAACGCAACAAAATATGTTGCTAAAAGGAAAAAATCGTCGTTAAAATGTTTCGCCGACACACAAAGCTACGTCAGCAACCCGTGAGTAAAAGTGAGTCGGCAAAACTTTTTGACGACAAAATTATTATTGTGTTGGTAAAAGTAAAGTCTTTAGCGACAAACATAGTCGTCGGTAAAAGCCTTCATCCATCGTCGGCAATTTACCTTGCGTCGATAAAAATAGTTCAAACATGATGATTGTGTGGCACTTTTCCCAACAAAAAATTGTGTCGGCAAAAGTAAACTTTTTGCGACACATTTATGCTTGTAAATGTTAACATTTGCCGACGATTTGTTTGTCGAGATAACTTTACTTTTGGCAACAACAAATTTGCATTGTCAAAAAATACACTTCTAGCGACACAATATGAGTCGGAAAAAGTAAACTATTGACAACACATTTATCAACAAATTGTTTGTCAAGAAAGCTTTACTTTTTGACAACGATAAATTTGCACAAAAATAATTGAAAATCATTTATAATTTTTATAAGATTTACATATTTACAAGAGACATCCCTCAGGCACAGTAGCTTATAAGATACATTTTAGACTAAACATAAAGCCAACCTCAGCTTTCCGAATTGGCAAACTTTATACTAATACACTTTTGAATTTAAGACTCATCCAATAACAAACAACAGATGAAGCTGCTGAAGTTTTCCATTTGTCTAAATATTCTTATCAAGGAGCTCATTAAGAGAAATTGACATCTGCAAAAGAAGTTCTATTATTAGGTGATGCTCCGAGACACGGCCCTTGTTGATGTTGTTGGATCTTGCTTTCAGTACAGCCCAAATTTGGTCTGGTAAAATTCGCCATAAGATCTCCAACTACAGGTGTTCTCATCTCCTCGATGGATGCCAATCTAGGCGCTGCTATTATCTTCAACTTCAGAGTTGTACTAGTATGCTGATCAACCTGTGCAGAATTACACTATTTAATAACGCTGCCTTTTCCAACTGCTGCCCAGAGTAATTGACCATATTTGTGCTGCAAATTCAAACCAAGACAATTACGTGGCAGAATTACTAAATGCACACAAATGTAATGAATAACTTGCAACTTTAGTCCAAAGCCTTAGGTCATGGCAATACTCAGGGTGCTAGAAATACTTTTTTTTATATAAAAAAATAAATAAATAAATAAAAACCCTATCCATCTGTAATGTAATTTGAAATGTTTTCAAATGCCCATAAAAGCAACTGCTTTTGCAATGTTACCATAAACCATTATACATTCCATACAGAACTTTTCTCAGGAAAAAAAAACTCCTTGAAAGCAAAAGAAGCCTAACGAAATATAACTTATTTTTTAGAGAGAGAAAAAAAAAAAAAAACATAATCTTGAATGCCTCACCCAAATCACATAAGACCCATTTTGATTTAGAAACCCATGTTGCATTTACTAATAATCTTCATTCACTACAGACTGGTTAGAATACATGAGGTGAAATTTGACACTAATCACTGCTGCCATGTTAACAATTTCCTCTATAGCTCACATGGTTCTTAGATGTCAAGCAAACAATTCTACCTACTAATTTTGGCAAGAAATGTAGTTAAAAAAGACTCCCCATAGCTGTTTTCTTAGCTGTAAGAGATGCTAATATTGCCGCAATTTTTTCCATTGCCTGCTTCTCTTCTCTAGCAGCCTCTTCCTGTTTAACAGCAAAGAAAAAAACAAACAAACTCAATATACTTCAATCCCAGAAAATGCTTTAGACCCCTAAAACATCATCCCTAAATTTAGTTTATGAATCAACCAAATAAGATCCACATCAGTATGAGAAAATGATGTAAGATTAACAAAATTAACATCCAAGTTTAACATATGAAAGAGACATCAGCTTTCAGTTCATACGTCATATTTACAAGCAAGAAATGAAGAGACATGTTCCTCCATGCATCTCAATTGTTGCTGTTGCTGAGAAACTGACCCCAAGATGGTCTTGTGCAGGTCTTTTAATGACAGAAAACCACAACAATGGAGAGAGAGAGTTCAACGGTAGGGGTGATGACTTTGACCAAAACAAACTGATGAGCTAAAATTACCAAGAAGTGGCATAGAATTACCTATA